ACCTTGATTTTATTGGGATAGCATAGATAAGGTCCATGCGCAGCTTTAATACTTATAGCATTAAAACCATACTAAATAAGAACGAGTATTATAAAACAAGTCTAATTACTTGTTTAATAGAGAGACAATTCTACAAATAAAATGAGTTTATACAGAGGCAATATTATGGAAGGGTGTGAGTGTGTGTAAGGAGGAGGATGGGGGAGAGAGGATCATCAAACGAAGGTGACTTTTAGTTTTAAGAACCTTTTTTTTTTTAAGGAACTGAACCAGAGTTCACCCCATCCCCTCATTTTAGTCGTAGAATTGCCACTGTATTTTTATATGTAAAGTTATACGAATGTGTTTATATATGTATGCTTATTCTTATACGAGTATATATGCGTTGCTACATGTCAGTTAAAAAATTAAATAGCAAAATATTATACTTACTGCATTTATTTAAAATTTTATTCGCAAATACATGCAAAAACCTTTAGTAAAATAATAAGTTATTATCAATAAAATTGTATTATTAACAAAATTTACAACTTATTTCTTCTTTATTTGTTCTACACACTACTGTAATCTGATGAACTATGTAATAAAGGGGTAATGGCGTCTTTAACCTATTTATCCTAGCATTTTTACAATGCCTTCAAACAGTAGGAAATCAGGAAAAAATCCCACAGGATATTTTTAACAGCACATAAAACAAATGATATGTCAGTATAATGGTTTATAATGTAAATATTTTATACATATATATTATGTTACAAGCAAAACCTTAATCCTTTACATTTTATAAATCGATTGTCAAATAAATAGAACATACAAAAAGTGTACATTTATTGAATAACATATAAGTAGAGCATACAAGGAGTGTACATACATAGACTGACTAATATTTTAAACATGCAAGGAGTGCCGCTACCCTTAATGAGGGTTTTGGTTTGAGCAGGCAATCATCAGTTTCAGGAACTTATTTTAAAAAGTCTTGGCGAGGGATATTTTCTGGGCGGGAGGAGGGAGGGAAAAGGATTTTTTCTTAGAACCAAACAGTAGCTAAATAAAGTTTCGAATGAAATCTATGTCTAATAATAAAAAAAAAATTGAGGTTCGCTTACATTGTAGGCCGTTTTAGAATCTTTTTCCCGCGTTTTTGATGATGTTTTTTTTGCAGCAAATTCTGTACATTAAGATGTTTTTTTTCTTCTATAAAACTTACTAGTTTTAGATGAAAATTTTTGTTGGATAACACCTCTCAAAAATATTCATTACAAAATTTATGACAAAAATTATTAAAATTAATTAAAATGTAAACCGTGTGATTTCATGAAATATTCTTGCGTTATCAACTAAGTGAATAAATTTTTTTCTAGTCAAAATTAGAAATTAAATAACACTACGTAACACAATTTTTTTGGATTCTAAGTATTATATTTCAATTGCTTATGTCTAAAGTATGTGTAAAAATGATCTCATTAAGCACAAACTATGCTTACATGACAACAGCGCGAAGAAAACTCATTTTTTGTGTGAAAATAGAACGATTTTTTCATTTTCGTCATTATAACCAGGTAAAAACAAAAATTGCCCAAGGAATAGACAAACACAGTCGGAAACCACTCAACAAGGTTCAGAAATGTTTAGATTTTCTAGAATTACGATTGTACTGTAAATCACTCTGTAAAAGTAATTCCTAAATGTTTTCACGCTCTAAAAGTTTTACTCTCTAAAAGTAATTCCTAAATGTTTTCACGCTCTAAAAATTCCCTAATCATGTTTTCATTGTACTGTCCATGGAAACGATGTTCAAAGTCCAATATATCTTGATGAAAGCGCTCGCTTTGCTCCTTGGTGCAAGCGCCCATGTTCTCCTTGAATTTTTCAAGGTGCGAATCAAGGATTGGACTTTCTGCATCCATTTTGGCGTAATTCTTTATAAGAATCTGCACCAACTCCACATAGTTTCAGCTTTGTGGTTACCTAGGAAGCTCTAAACAACTGCAATGAAACTGTTCAAGCCGTTCTCTCCGTCCTATTCAATAGCTTTGCGAAATTCTCATATTCAATGATCTTCTGGATTTTATGTGGTTCTATCAGCAGCTACCACATTACAGTGCTCTTACCAACAGAAAACTCGGTCTTTTGTCCGAAAATGCGCCTTAGTGTCACGGCTGTCAAGACAAAGAAAACAAGAAAATTTTGTGAAACTTTCTTAAAAGCCCATGAAGAATGATACCATTTTGAAGTCACTGATGAGCTCTCATCCGTAGTCGTCATACTTTAATGCACTCAGCAACATTTTGACACTCAAAAAGTCCTCTTTGAGACGCACAGAGATAATTTGAGATGCCATATCAAATAAATTCCCTTAAACTACGAATCGTTATTCTTTCAATCTGCAATAACACGAATTGGAATCTAGGTTTAAAATGTGCTTTTATATTTGTACAGCTACTTTTGTAATGTTCAAGAACGTTCTCGAAAGTTCTAAAATTTTCTCGAAAGTTCTAAGATTTTCTCGAAAGTTCTAAGATTTTCTCAAAAGTTCTAAGATTTTCTCGAATGTTCTAAGATTTTCTCGAAAGTTCTGGAAGTTTTTTTAACGTTCTAGAGTGTTTAGGAGAGTTGTTGAAAAATCTGGACAACTCTAGCAGTTCAGAAATATTATAAGAGGAAGCTCGGCATTGAAAACAAATCAAGAACTTTTTTGAAAACACGCGACTCTCCAAATTTCATTGTCCTGGTCACAAAGCAAGTTATTTTGATAGCGCCGAAGCGCAGAATATCTTAAAGACCCACAACAAAAACAAAATAAGTAAGGATTCGATTTTTGAAAATTTTCGAATCGTATTTCGAATCATATTTTTGATTCGATTCGATTCGAAATTTTGAAGCTTTGCAGGGCCCTATCTAACAGCTTAGGAAAACACATTTTTAACCAAGGAACAGAACAAAAGTGAAAATTTGTTACATAGTGTAATCGGTATCGAGTGACGGTTTATCGTCTGGTATCGGTGCGCTACCTTAAAATATTGATGTCGAGATCACTATTACGGAAAGCAGCGGTTATGGTGGTATTGCTTGGTACCAATAATACCATTGAGCATTGCAACTCGAGTCTTCACGTAAATTTAAATTTTTACATTTAAAATAATAAATTTATATAATAACTAAGATGTAGGGGAGAGTGGGCAAAAGTAGGACATAAAATATTTCTACAATAATATCTTAATATTTTTTAAATATAGTTTATGTACTTTATCAAACAAGTTTTAACAAATAAAACATCATTTTGGACACTGATTTCATCCCCTAAGATTAACAGCAAGTTATAATAAAGTATATATATTTTTGATTTTAGAGGAACCGTGCCATTAGGGTAAAGTGAGACAGCTATGGGGTAATGTAAGACAGGTAATTAACAACATGATAAAAAAATTAATAAAAACTCCCATATCACTTTTGTGTAAATTAATTACACAAAAGTGATATTGAAGAATTAGGAGATCAATTAGTTTTCTATTTTTTACTTCGCATCTCAAAAAAATGTTTTTTTGAGTACTTTTCAAAAATATCATTTTTATTTGACGCAGGAAGACAAAACGATGTTTGCTAAATAAAAATAAAAATATCACAACATTGCTTAGAGACCTCTCCTAATTGAAATTTTTTAGATGTCTCACTTTTTCCTGTTCCACCTCTCCCCACTCTTATCTATATAATTGACTTTGATAGTATAATAAAATTTCTTAAAGATTATGTGGTATCGTATGATATCATATTTATCATTTAATATTAAAATAATATCGCAATTTTTATTTAATTTATTGTGTGGTATTGCATCTTAATTTAAATTTTAAATCTTAAATCTGGTACCTTCACTCCAATTAAATCACGCGTCGTTACGTATTTCTCGTCTGGTATAATCTTTCGTTCTGTGCTCAACATTCAACAACTAATCAATATTTATTATGCCTTATATAACAACTAATCAATATTTATTATGCCTCTTATTTCAATATAATTTATTTAATATTTTTTCTGATTGTGACTAAGCAACCATTCGATTCTTTTTTATTATCGGTATTGTTTGGTGTCGAACCAATACCGATGGTTTTGACATTAGTATATAAGCAATACCACACGATACGAGACCATCCTTCTCGGTATCGACTTACACAATACCGATTATCTAGAATCTATTCAAAATCTTACTTAATAATATAAAAATTAAATAACTGCAACGTTAAACATAAAATATGGTTTTTAATAATTGGCATTTTCTAATTAAAAAGTATTTCTTATTTTTTATATATAACACTATATTAGTTATTATGTCTTATCATACCTAATTGTGATATCATAACATTTTGTGTTTTACATTAAATATCTTATAATTATCTTAATTCAATTTAGCGTAATAGTCTTTTAAAACTGTACAACTTATTTTCAACATTTGTTATAATAGCAAGTATAAATAAAACTTAGGACAAGAGTTTTGGTTCTAAGATCATAGCAAGCGCTTTAGTAACGCTTTTTTTTTAAAAAACTTAAAGATTCATAGATGTTTATATCAGTAAACCTGATCTTAATAAATGATAATTTATGCAAAAGTGAGTGTAAAAATATAAAGTCTGCTTTTTAAGAAAAGCTGTATCTGAAGAAAAAAATGTGCTTCTAATTAAACTAATTTATATCTTTTAAACTATTTAACATAATTTTAAATCGTTTAAAACCACTTATTAATCTTTATTTTTATTTTTAGGTAATAATTGTATATCAATAATAAAATATTTAATAGTTATTAATATATACAATAATTAATTTTTCAAACCATTTAACGTGCCATAACAAAGTTAGCTTGCGCAAATTTTTTTCTTTTTTCACGTGCATCTTTTTTGCTAGGCACGTCAGAAATAATTTTTTTAAATATAGTATTTTTTATATATATTTTATATATAATTTTGTTAAATATAGTAATTTTTTATATATATATAAATACTTTAAAATAGGGGAAAACTCTGATTATATAAAAGAACCAAAGAAAACCAACACTTCGAGCCATTCAAACTACCAAGCTTTTAAGAAGTTTCAAAAACAACTGGACCATGAGATGGTTTCATGTCGACCTGCAGTTAATTCTGAAAACAATCAATCGTGTGACCTCAATAAAAATAAAGACAATGTAAATAAAGTTGAGACAAGTAAAAAAGTTTTAGGCTTAGTTAATCGCAACGATCCTTCTCAAGTTTCGTTTCAAGAGGAAAGTGCATGGCTCGAAAGTCTGGTTGCTGAAGAAGTTATTGCCAACAAAAATAAAGACTTATTACAAAAACTTTCGACAGGTATTTTTAACATTACTTGATAGTTTTTTTAAAAATTTTAACGAAATAACAGCATGGCTCACTTAAATTATAATTTAAGGTGATTATAACATTTTGAATAACATTTTTTAGCAATGAGTTAAGAAAAAACCTTTTCACATTATTTTTGCTAATTATTTAAATAAAATATAAATATTATTTGTGCTAAGTAACCCAAAATATGCAAATTTTCTTTTTATATCATGGGCGTTTGCAGAAATTATTCAGAAAACCGGAAAAAAATATTGGAAAAGTTTATTTTGTTAAAAATAATTTTCTTCTATTTTTCCTTCTTTTTGTCCCCGTTAAAAACAGTTTTTAAACAACTAATAAGAAAAAAACAAACAAAAATAACAAAAAAAAAATCAATAAAAATAAAACAATTCTCTGCATTTTCTCTGCATAGTTCTTTAAGTTTAAATTTTTTTTCGGCCCATCAACGATTAGCAGGGATGTACAGGGTTATTCTAAACTTTACTGCAGACACCCATGGTATTAGACAATTTTTAAAATTTAATCTATGCTTTAATAAATATTAGATTTCAAAATAGTGGGTTTACCTATGTTACCTGCACCTACAAGCTCTCAAAAAGCTCCACCAGTTGAAAGAACGAATTATAAATACCAAAGATCAAAAAGCGAATATGTGATTGAAGATAATATTGTCATCGATAAAAGAAAGAGCTGGTTAGAAGATATGCTTCAAAATGAAAATAAACTAGTTGAAAATATTTTTCTAAGTAAAGTAAATAAAAACGTTGCCAACGAATCCAATGATTCAATCGATTCTTCAAGCAACAAAAAAAGTGAGTCACAGCACCTGCAAAATGAATCAAACTTAAAATATTATTCAGACTTGATAAAAAATCAAAAAGATTCTTGTAACAGTTTTGAAAAACCTTTTAATTTTTCCTCGACAACCAAACAAAGAAAAAGTATAGATTTTAGTTTAGGAAACTCCAAAAAATATAATTCAACAGATAGTCTAGACAAATTTAGTCTAGACAAGGAAGTTGTAACGAGCGCGCAAAGTGTTAAAGACGTTGCCAAGTTGTTTCAAACTCCATTGCAAACTGAAAACAATTTGATTAAAAGGCAAAATGACGCAAAAATGAGAAAGTATGCCCGTCCTAAATCTTATCATGCAGGTGTTTTAAATCAATATGATTTGACTTCACAAGATGTTTTAACAAGAAATTCTAGTCATGAAAACAAAAATGACATTTATCCCCCCTCTAGTAATGTCCCCTTCACTGACATTAATCTTATTAAAAATAAGTTTGGTAGTGCAAACAATATATTTTCTGATGCAAAAAACATTAATGCAGAAAATAGCCAATCAGATTTTGAAGCCAATAAACGTAACATGAATAATGGAATGATAAACATGCGCGTCGTCGAAGATATTGCCGAAACTGAAAGAAGAGAGCAAGAAATCAGAGAAGAAAGATTAAGAAGACTGGAGCGAGAAAAAAAAGATCAAAAATGTGGCGAACCAAACAAACATGGACTAGCTGAATTCATAAAAGAAAATGTAGTTGAATTATAATTTTTTTTTTTTTAATTAAATTATGCAGAAAATATGCAAATTATCCAGAAAAGAAGAAGCAGCAAAATTGTCTTAAAAGCAAACCATAGAAAAAACGTGACCTATCAGTTAAATTATAGAATATTATTATTACAGCATTATTGTTATTGTTACAATAATTACTATCTATACCTCTATATCATTTTTAGTGTGTTCACAAACAGTATCATTTTCATAATACTTTATTTTATACATTTGTGTTCTTAGCATATTATACTATATAAATTATACTTAAAATTTATATAAAATATTTATATACTATACTATATTTGAATCTCAGTTATCCTCAAATATGTTTTAAGCAGTACTTTTTAATCTCCGCTTTGGTCTAGGTCTAGTAATTACGGTATAAGGCCTAAGGTTTAATTTAATACTTGCAGTCATTTCTTTGGTTTTGATAAAATTAATTTGCTTTATAATATATGAGTGTTTAATTTAATTTATAACGTTTGTATTTCTATAAAGGTAAAATGCCAAGTAATTCTGAGAATAGGAGTTAATATTTTTTTACTTTTACTCGCTCTGTGTATTGTGTATTTACCTAATACTCTTTGTGTTGTGTTTACTCTTTGTATTGTGTTTCTGTGTATTTGCTTTATTGTGCTCTTTGTATTGTGTTTCTGTGTATATACTTTATTGTGCTCTTTGTATTGTGTTTCTGTGTATTTGCTTTATTGTGCTCTTTGTATTGTGTTTCTGTGTATTTGCTTTATTGTGCTCTTTGTATTGTGTTTCTGTGTATTTGCTTTATTGTGCTCTTTGTATTGTGTTTCTGTGTATATACTTTATTGTGCTCTTTGTATTGTGTTTCTGTGTATTTGCTTTATTGTGCTCTTTGTATTGTGTTTCTGTGTATATACTTTATTGTGCTCTTTGTATTGTGTTTCTGTGTATTTACTTTATTGTGCTCTTTGTATTGCGAATAAAACAATCTTGCATAGGTTATGAAAAGAATAGCTGTCTTCTTTGTAGTTTATGCAAGAAAAAGAAAATAAGTTTGTAAGTCCAAACTTAACAATTTATATTTTAAAGCACATATAACCTTATCATTGACATCACTACAAACAGGGTAGGGTGGGGTTATGTTGGTCTAATGGGTCTAATGTGGGTCCAATCAACATTAATTAGTTTTTCAGAAGAAATGCTTTAGGTAGAAGATTTTTTTTCTCTGTATGTAAAAGGTGGTTAAAACAGCCCTCTAAATTTCAATTATCAGCTTACTACGCAAAATCTTAAGTATATTTTTTTATTTAAAATGGCGCATACATTTAAAGCAAGATTTTGTTTATCGAAAAAAATCAGAAAATAGGTGTTAAAAACGGGGAGTAACACATAAAAAATGTTTTATCTTAAAAATAACTAAATAATTAGTTTCAATTAGTTTAAACATAATAGACGGAATGATAAATAGTTTTTTAAATAAGCAACATTTTTGGATGAATTAATGTAGCTCTATATGTCAATGTGTTTTGTGTCTTTATGAATCTAATGCTTATACGACAATACCTATAAAATGAAAATTAGAATAAATTAGAAATCTGACTATGTTTCTGTATTCATTCTGGAATCATGTTGCAATGGATTAAAGATGTAATGGTATTATGCTTTCAATTAAAAATTGTAAATAACGCAGCGTAGCAGTTTTGAAGGATTGCACATTGAATATTTATTATATTATTATTATACTAGCTGATCTGCCCCGTAAAAATACGGATCACACTCACCTTTTCTATTATTATTCTAAGATATTTTTTTTGTTTATTCGTAAAATTTAGCGCTGCGTAATTAATGGACAATCCATAATCTGAAGGTTCTAACGGGGGTGTAGTAAAATAGTTGTAAAACTCTAAATTTCCTTAATAAATTAAATAGTTTAAACTTTTAATTACTTTTAAAAATGTTTAACAGCTGATCGGACCCGTAAAATTCAGGTCTTTGTAAGTCTACTTCACATTGACCATTACTATACTTCTTTAAATATATATCCTAATTATCTGGACTAGTAACACACCTTTCCGTATACGTGGATCTTATAAGAGATTTATAAAGTTGTTTGTTTTTCTCCTAAACGAAGAAACTCTATTCTTCATCGACTATTATGAATATTTTTAACTTATAAATGTATGTATATACACTAGGGTGTCCCAAAAAAAAATATATTTTTGCACGCATGTTTTTCCCATTCCTTTATGTCTACTGAGTTCATATATATGACTAAAAAGTTTTTCTGAGGTCAATTTCAACTATATGTAAAATCTCAATTTCTTAATTTTTGATAAAATTTGAGCTTTTTTTTACCTTTTTTTAGATTCCAACAATTTTACTTTTTTAATGTTCCTTACCCTAGAGAATTAAGAAAACCAATGTTTTTAGACTATATAAGAATATCTAACCTATTTGGTATAGAAGGTTCATTCGAGCATGATTTACAGAGGGGGTCGATAATGATGACTAGTTGAGGAACTTTTGTGTTTTATGTATACTGTTTTGTTTTAACAGGATTTTGTCTATTCTTTTGATTTTAACCGCTTATAGTAATAATTAGAAGTTAAATATGAACTTATTTTTTCAAATATAATTATGTAATAGTTATGAATACCTTCAATATACATTTATTTACTTGAAAATTGTATAGCTAAATGTAATTTTTTTAGGGGGACACTAGAATAAATTTTTAAAAATTTGTTTTAGCATTAACTAATAATAAAAGTATTAAATAAAATGGGTCTCAAAAAAACAAAAAAATAAAGGCTGAGAAGAGAAAGTACAGCATGTCAACGAATCCAAGAAGGCTGCTGTTTTTTCTAAAGTACACAATCAATGAGCTTTTAATAAACCAGCTGGCAACCATCAGAAATATTCTGAGATACATTCAGTTTCTAAAATCTCCTAGGTAGAACAAATAATTATTATTTTATATATAAATATACTATAAAACAATGATAAAATTTAAAAATGATCTATTTTATGCAATACATATTTAATCTAATTTATCTCTCCCCTAACATTTAAAATGAGACACAATGAGGCAAAAATTTTATGTGAGAACAAAAAAACCATAATGATAAATACTTGTCTATTTTTATTTTAGATCAATAAGATTTCAATCTAAAAAGTCGATAGTAGCCTGCCCTCAAAAGCAAGAGAACAGGGATTTGATCTGCAAAGATAGTTTCTGCAAGAATTCTGAACAAAGATGTGTTGCCTCCGCTGTAATAGACGCTTGGAACAAAGCAGGGTTTCAAGATTTTATCATCAGTGGATCCAGTGTCAGAGATAAATTACTGAAGCTCCATAGTAAGTACATAAATCTGCATCATCTCAAATCATTGAATTGGAACTCTAGCGATGGCAACTTCTCTAAAATACAGAATGAGTTTTTAGAGTTTAGATTCTTCAGATGATGAAAAATTACCTAATAGATTCAGTCATTCTACTAAATCTAAGATAATGATAAGTATAAGTGCTGAAGATCTGGTAGACTGTACTGCTGCAGTTTCTGCCCGATTCAGAGTAGGTATACGCCCACAAACTTCATTAGTAGCTGCTACTTGCAATAAAGCTGGTGTAAATCTAGATGATATTAATCTATCAAGAAGTACCGTTCATAGAAAAAGATTCAAAAAAATTGAGATATTAGGAGATAAGCTCAGGCAAGAAATTATAGCTACTCTGAAGGGAAAAAAGCAATGTGTTCATTTTGATGGAAAAAGGATAAAACAGATTGAAGAAGATCTAAAAATAACTGTTTCTGTAGAAAGAATAGCGGTTAGTGTTACTTCCCCTGATATGGATGACACAGATGACATACTGCTAGGTGTTGTTCAGGCACCAAGTTCTAAAGGTAATGACCAGGCTGAAGCAATTTTGAATTTGCTAGAATACTATGACATTGTAGATCAAATATTTTCTGTTTGCTGTGACACTACTGCATCCAATACTGGAATACACTCTGGAGCTGTTGTTATCCTTAGTTCCATTCTTAATATTCCACTTATATGGTTTCTCTGTAGAAGACATATGCTAGAAATACACATCTCACACTTTATGGAGGCTTTGACTGGAGAGAAGACGAAGGGCCCAAGAAAAGGACTGTATGTCAAACTCCAGAATAATTGGTGTTTTTTCAAAAAAGAGGTTGACAAGATGATAGATCTAGTTAGGTTTGATTGGAGTCAGCTTCAGGTTGAGTCACCTCTTTATGAAATTGCTAAGAAAGCTTTGGAGTTTGGAAAAGAGGCCCTTGCCTCAAAAACTTTTGTGAGGAATGATTACAGGAAACTATGCGAGCTTTTTGTTTTCTATTTGGGAGAAGTACCTGGACTGTGTTTTCATCAACCTGGAGCCTGCCATGAAGCTAGGTACAGTATATTAAAAGAAAAAAAGTTAAGTATAATAAATAACATATAAATTAAAGAATATAATAAATAAATATTAATGGTAACAAAATCTTACTCTTTAGGTTTATGGCTGATGCTTTATACATTCTTACCCTGAGAATAACCAATAAAATCACAATGATTATGAGCAAAGTGGAAAAAAAAATGATAGAGACAGCAGCCTTTTTCACATCTGTCTGCTATGCACCTTGGTTTCTAAAGTTGTACTTGGTTGCAAGTTCACCCTCAAATGATCTTGCAGCTTTTAAGAATGCTTTTTGTATCAAAGAAAAATATCCCAATCTTGGTTCAGCATTGGTTGCTAGTATGCAAAGACATACCTGGTACTTGACTGAGCAGTTGGTGCTGCTATCTGTAGCTGATGATGATGTAGAGCAGGAAGTGAAAAAAGAGATGTTGGATAGATTAGTTCAGCTCGATGTTCCTGACTAGTTCAAGATTGGAAAACCTGAGCTACCAATCATATCAGAGTCCACTGAGCTTTGGGAACTTGTAGGTCCAGAAAGTTGGCTTCTGTTAAAAATCGCAGAAGTCCCTGATGGTGAAGTAGAGCTGTGGAGGATGGAAAAAGCCCCAAAGTCATTATATTTTTTCAAAAAATTTGTTAAAAATTTGACTTGCATCAACGATTGTGCTGAAAGAAACATACGCCTCATTCAGGACTTTGTAGGTGGATATAAATCTGACAATATGCAACAAAAATAATGCTGGTGGCCAGGGACAATAGAAAGAAACTTAAAAAAGATCTTTCCAAGTCCCAGTTAAAAAATATATAACTTATTATTCTTGAAA